ATTTAAGCCTTTAGCTGCTGTTTTATTAATTTAGGCTTTTAGCATCTGTTTAGCTTATTTACTCTTTTAGCTAGTTTTATTAATTTAAGCCTTTAGCTGCAGTTTTATTAATTTAGGCTTTTAGCATCTGTTTAGCTTATTTACTCTTTTAGCTAGTTTTATTAATTTAAGTCTTTAGCTGATCTTTTAATTTTAGCCTTTAGCTGTTTTTAAGCAATGGTTTGGTCCAGTATAACTTCCACTTATGTTAGTTGATTTAAACTTTTAACAACAGTTTAGCTAAATGTAGCTTTTAGCTCCTGTTTCGCTGCTTTTCACTTTAACTGAACATATTTTAGCTTTTGGATCAGAAAAGTTTTGCAGAACTTTATCTGATAATTCAGTGAAACTTGTTTGGATCTCAAACATTAAACTTTAAATCTGCAGCGTTTTGTTTCCAGTCTCTTCAGGACACAAACCTGATCTCCGGCAGTGAAGGAACCGTTCTCTCTCTCTCTATTTGTTTGGCTTCGGGGAGAACAAAGCGTTGAACGGTTGTCTCCTCCGTAAACGAGCCTGAGGCTTCTTCTCCTCCTTGATGTAGCCTAAAACAGAAARTAAAACTTCTGACGTGTCAAGTTTCTAAATGTTCTCAACAAGAAAACAGACCAGTTTTCAGATGGTATTCGTTAAAGTGGGCGGAGTTTGAAATACAGGCGGAGCTTCATAAGAGTGGGCGGAGTATGAAATAAATCCCACCCAAAACAGTCWATCAGACCAATCACATCTCACAAACTCCTCCCACAAAAGTAAAACAGACCATACATGTCATTTTAAAACTCCGCCCACACACAGAGAACCTCCCATTTACTGACTGCAGAGACCCCCTCCCCCCCTATGTTCTTCAGTTACCTCTCTGRATGCAGGTCTGTGTCGACGGGAACCCGACCTCCCAGAAGTTTTCAGGAGTGCTGGGGGGGAGGTAGACGAAGCGGTGCCTGGAGCAGGTGGACAACTTCTTCTGCTTCTCCTTCTCAGGCAGGTGGGAGTAATACTGCAGGAGAACCATGATTATTACATTTATAAAAAACTAAAAAACACTTCGGCTCGAGGAAACTCACGTTCTCACACTCCTTGCAGGTGGTGCCCTTCAGTTTCTTCCTCTCGTCCTTTTTTCGAACCACTGCCATATATTTAAACGTCGGCTGTCTAACACGACAAAAAACACGAAGCATGAGTCAAAAAATCTGTTGAACTAGCTGGATATATATTTGGATTCTGATCACTGGATTCTACAGATTGGCTTGGTGGTCTCCTGGTGTTCTGCAAAACAACATCAGTGGCTTTTCAGGCCATTTCCTGGCTGCCTGAATACGAAGGATTGCCGTTCTATCAGCACTCAGACTTTAGCTTTGAGCGAGCTGGACTCGGTCTGCAAGTGGTTCTGTTGAGAGTCGCAGGCCGGCTGTGGTTCCTGGACTTTGCTGGCCAGATGGAATTAATCTGGGAGAAGCTGATGGCTTGGCTCAGCGGGATTGCCCACACTATTTGCCTGATTGGATTCGCCACCTTGAGATGTACATTAAGGCAGATGGAAAATTATTATTGTCTGCTTGACCGAAAACATTTTCTCTGTTCCCAAACAACTGATCACAGATTCGGCTCTCCTCTACGTGGCCTTGGAGAGCTGTGGATCTAAATTCTCCTGGTGTTTACATCAACTTGAGACTTGCCCCCACCTTCCCCCTCTCACTCCCGTCTGTGATCTGGTTCCTGAAGGACAATCTGAAGGTCGCACAGAATGAACACTCATCAGTATTCTGAATTATGGCTGGGCGGGTTTTTTGGGGACTAGATTCTTCAGGTTCATTCTTCAAAACAAATGCATACAACACTCGTCTTCAGATACACACCCCCCTAAACTCACTTACTCCTCTGGCAAATAAATGTGCTCTTGCTCTACAAATACCACAGTGCAGGGCAATTCAACTGGCGGCCCGCGGGCCAGAAGTTCGGCCCGTCAACTGGTTCATTCATCTCTTAAGCCCAAACCCCAGGTTTTTTTTACTTTAATTACTCTAAATTCTTTTAAAGGTAACAGATCTTTGTAATGTTTGCTTTATTTACATAATGACTAATTGCTGGATGTTSGGCCCCTGAGCTGTTGAGCTGCAGTAACTGTGGCCCCTGGAGGAATTTAGTTGAATAGCCCTGCCAAAGCGTCACATTTGTTGATATAATATGATGTTTTTTTCCTCATCTATCCTTGTGTGGTTTTTAGTTTTTCTGTTAAGGGTTGCACCTTCTCATGATGTCTTCATGAAGATGATCCAGGGCACCTGTTCTCCCATGTTTGTTATGTTCTGTCTTCTTCTGAATGGGTGATCTGAACTGTAATTTCATTGTGCTCTGTACGATGACAATAAAGGCTTATCTTATCTTCTTATCTAATCTAAACAAGTCGACCATCAGTAACGCTCCTCACCCTGGTTTACTCGGACATTCAGCCGTTTCTCCAGGATCTGTGTTCAGTTCAGAGAGACAAATAAGATTAACAATTACATTTTAAATTAACCAATACAATCAAAACAGTAGCTAAAAGCTAAATAACAAAACAGTAGCTAAAAGCTAACAGTAATGAAATAGCTGCTTACAGCTAAATGTAGTAAACAGTAGCTAAAAGCTAAATGTAACAGCTGCCAAATGCTTAATTTACCAAAACAGTAGCAAAACTTTGGATTATATATGATATATAATTATATCAAACTAGTAGCTAACAGCTAAATGCAATAACAGCTGCTAAAAGCTAAAAGTTTCAAAACAGTAGCTGAAAGCTAAATTTAGGAAAATATCTGCCAAAAGCTAAATGTATTTGATCAGCAGCTAAAAGCTAAATGCAGCAAAACATCTGAATAGTTACAACACAGTAGTGAATATGTAAACTTAGAAAGACTGCAGCTAAAAGCAAAAAATTGCAGAACAGTTGCTAAAAGATAATTACAGCAAAACAGTTGCTGAAAGCTACAGTGTAGCAAAACAGCAGCTTAAAGAAACTTTGTAAAACTGCAGCTAAAAGCTAAGATTTGAAAACTAGTAACTACAAGCTAAATGTAGCTAAACTGGAGCTTAAACAATTATAGCTAAATGCTATAATTAGCACATCTGTAGCTAAAATTAGTAGAAAAATCGACCTGAAACAGGAGGAGGTAAAGATCTAAAAGTGTTTGGGTCTTTGCTCCAGCTCTCCATCAGTTTGGGGGTCCCAGATTGAAAAAYGAGGAAGACCCCTGATCCGAACACAAACCTCTGTCACCTTCCTCCTCCTCGTCACCATCCTGGTCTGAGTGTGGACTGTGGTGGGATTTGTACGTCCCGTAAGCCGTCGTGTCAAACATCATGTCCAAACTGTTGTTAGCCTTCTCACCCAGCCCTGAAGACGAAGAAATCAAAGTGAATTCAAAACCTTTAACTGAAGGAACCGTTCAGGATCAGGAACTGTGAATCAGATCATTAAAAAAAGAGATAAATGCAGGAAAACAGTGGTTTAATAATAATTATTTTAGACCAACTAACCAGACTTCTCCTCTCCWCCATCCTGACTGTCTTCTCGTTGACGCTGCAGGACGCTGTGACTCACCCAAGTGCAGTCGGTGTCCGCCAGGTCCACGTGACTCCGCCCCTCCACGTCCTAAAACAGCACAGGTAGACACGTTCAGCCGACAGACTTCACCTGAAGAAGAAACCAGTCCGTGGAAAGGATGAACCTCGTCTTCTTCCTGCTCGCTGTCGAACACGGACAGAGCGGGGTCGACGCTCCACGCCGGCTCCACGGTGCTCCTCCCACCAGCTGGGAAACAAAACACGAGTCACATGACAGGAGCGTCACCCAACAGGGACGAATTATTAAAATATCTCACCGTCTTTTCCTTCAGACTGTTTGTGAGCAGCGTTCAGATCCTGCAGAGGAGTTCTCCTCTTCCCCTCAGCTGCTTTTATTTTACTCTGAGGCTTCTTGAAAGAAGGACTTCTAAAGGAAACATCTGATGTGTGGCAGGAATTGTCTTTCTGGGCCGACTCCACCTAGAGAATATTAAATATCAACATGTGTTTTATGACCGGACAAAAAGAAAAAAAAATTAACATGAGAAAAACTCATAACATCACAACTTTATTCTCCAAACATCGCAACTTTATTCTCCAAACATCACAACTTTATTCTCCAAACATCGCAACTTTATTCTCCAAACATCGCGACTTTATTCTCCAAACATCGCGACTTTATTCTTCAAACATCGCGACTTTATTCTCCAAACATCGCGACTTTATTCTCCAAACATCGCGACTTTATTCTCCAAACATCGTGACTTTATTCTCCAAAAATTGCAACTTTATTCTCCAAACATCGCAACTTTATTCTCCAAACATCGCAACTTTATTCTCCAAACATCGCAAC